TTCTTTTGCTCACCAAGCGAATACATATTTGCCAAGGTAATCTGAAAATCCAACTATACTTGTATTTATCTCTTTATGAAAATATTTGAATAAAGATTTCATTATTTATACTAATACCACAAATTTCAATTTAATTTTTCCCTACAATCATCGGCGGGAACTTGAATCTTTGTTGCCTAATACGTTCCGCTGGTGTTCATTGGTCCTTGGAGCCGGATGCTATCTTCTTAAAGTGGTTCTTGAACCCCTTGACACCCGCCTACCACAGACCACCCATGTGTGGAGCTCCATGCGGTATGAAATGCGAAGACAATACCTGATGAACGTATTTCGATACAGCGTTGGTGCGGGCATCAGCTTTTTATATCAAATGGCCCTGTAAAATCTACCCCCGTGTTGGTAAAAGCGCGCGAGAAAGTCGTTCTTTCTTGCGGAAGAATTCCCATCAGTTGATTTTGTGAGCGTTTTTTGTAGATCGTGCAGATCTTACAGTTAAATATAATGGATCTAATCATCGTTTTTACCCTCAGAATCCGATATTGCGTTCTAATGAGGCGCAACATTAGTTGATTTTCTCCGTGCAATGAAATGTCGTGAACGAACTGGACAGTTAAACGAGATAACCTACCATTGTAAGGAAGGATGACTGGATGACGTTCGTTGTATGCCATTTCGAGGGATGCACCAAGACGTCCGCCTATTCTTAGTACACCTTCGGTGCCAATGAATGGATTTAGCGGCAATGTTTCACTTTTGGCATCGATTGATTCTCCAGATTTTAATCTCGCGATTTCTGCTCCATAGTGCTGCTTCTGCGATAAGATTATTAGCCATGTTGTCGTTGCCTTAATTTCACTGGCTGAAATTAAGCAAGATGTCGGCTTAAATGAAGCTTTTGTTTCCGGATGAGATCTTTGAGAGAACCTCAACATGTATGATATTACTCTCAAAGCTCTAGGCAAGCTAGAAAATCGTTCAAGAATGTCGCTAATGTTCTCAGTTGTCACAGCTGCATGAACGTGCACCCTTTTTTCTTCCATGTTTGTGTTGTAGTCTGAATCTTGTGCTGGCCACTTCTCTTTATCTTCTTGTAGCCAAGAAGGTCCCTGCCACCACAAAGAGTGGGTGAGCAATTCGTGAGCTAGTACACCCCTACTAGCCAGGTCTGCTGGATTCGTTAATGAATCCACATGGCTCCAGTTTTTATTTCATACCTTGTCGATTATTTTTGTGATTCTATGGGCCACAAATGTAGACCATGAACACGGTGGTTTGTGTATCCAAGCCAGAACGATGGTTGAATCAGTCCACAAATGTAAGTTTAAATGGCCAAAATCAAGATTATTTACGACTGATTCAACGATCTCTGCCAGCAATACGGCACCACAAAGTTCCAATCGTGGTAAGAAAATGGTTTTCACTGGCGCTACTCTAGTTTTGGCCAGAATCAAGCTGATGAATACCTGGTCTTCTCTCTCTACGCGTAAGTAAACTGTGGCAGCATACGCCTTCTCAGACGCATCACAGAACCCGTGTATCCAATGTACCTATCGGTGTATCCGTATTTTATCGATTTCCTTGTAACCGTGCATGAACGATTGCTATCGCTCCATTGTGGTAGCCGTGGTGCCTTCTAACCAGATGCTCTGCATTAATATTTTTGCGACGATAATTACTGGTGCTAGCCATCCTAGTGGATCCAAAAGTTTGGCGATGGCTGAAAGAAATTCTCTCTTGGTTACATTTTTGTGATTTTCAATCGGTTTGGTTGTAAAATAGAAATGGTCAGCACGAGCATTCCATCTTATTCCAAGGGCTTTTGCACTGCTCGTATCATCAAACTCTAAAAAATCGTCATGTAAAAGATGTAATTTCCCTAGAAGCGTGTGAGGTCGGAGCGGAGACATCGGCTTTTTGCCTAGACCCAGAGCAGGGGAAGTGCCACCGTCACCAGTCATCTGAAAGGGAATATGTTGCAAGCGCAGACGAGTCCTCTAGAATGGAGTCGAATGCACGCCATCCAGGTACTAGCAGCGCATTGGAACTTCTGCGCTGTAGCTTAGCCAACAGGCTGGATTGGAAACATATGCTTTCCAACCACCGTTCCGTCAGCATCGTCCTCAATATCGACGTCTGCGAAACCGTTCGCAGCAACAATGGAGATTGGAATCACATGCGTTCCAGCCGCCACATAGACGCAATTTTCGATCCGGTTTAATCCGAGCGGGACCGGAGGCAGCACTGCCCTTTCTATGCCTTACGGCGGTCGCACCCACCGCATTAGTGAAGATCGAAGCAGGAGGGCGACTTCACCTGATCCGAGCGCTTATCGATCCATGCACATCAAACTCAATCATCGCCGAAGATCTTGCTCGGGAGCTGAACTTAAATATGACGGCAGTCAACCACCAAAGGGGCTGTTTTATTAAAATGCGCGGCAAGTATGGTAATTCGATGACGGTCAGCACACACGCAGTGTCCGTCCGTAACTACCGCAAGCGTACACCGATCAGCAGCATCGACAGCGTGATTGCCAGTACGTACGCAAATTTTAAATTAGGTGCTGCCCAATTCCACATCTCTGCGCCAGTCCGTCTTACACTTCTACATTACTAAATTACTTCTTGGCGCCATTCCAGCGGGCGCACTCGTACCGCTTCTTGCCAAAATACGATTTTTGGATGGGTTTTATCGGGCGCCTGTTAGTTGCACTATTTAAATTTACCTTATTCACTTTTAAGTTCCTTTTTTTATATGAATATGAATGAATTACTGAATTAAAAGTGCAATTGAAATTTTAAAAACAATCACGTTTCCATTTCTTTAAGTTATTTATTAGAAACTAGAATTAAAGATGACGAGTTATATGTATATGCATAAATATATGTTAAACTGAAAATTTTATGAAAATTTAAAATACTTTGAAGTATGGTAGCTGGAATGAAGGTGCTTCGGTTGTTTCTTACAGCAAGGGGGCGGCATGTTTAGGCCTTAAGCCTAAATGTGCCAATTTTTGTGCCACCCTAATGCTTAACATTATGTTAACACTGTCGAACGGTTCTGTAAGCGAAATTTCCCTTTCCTTAAGAAACAGTTCGGCAGTTTAACGTTAGAAAATAGAAAAACCGTCACTTGCTTCTTTTGCGAGATCTGAAGGAAGAGGATTGTTCCAGCCACCATACTCCAGCTTTTATTCACCAAGCGAATACATATTTGCCAAGGAAATCTGAAAATCCAACTATACTTGTATGTATCTCTTTATGAAAATATTTGAATAAAGATTTCATTATTTATACTAATACCACATTTTCAATTTCATTTTTCCCTACAATCATCGGCGGGAACTTAAATCTTTGTTGCCTAATACGTTCCGCCGGTGTTCAAAGAGGAATAAAAAAGTGCAACACTTCTTGAAGTGACACTCTAATTTCCCGCCATGTCCATCGATGAAAACCATGGAATCAATAAATCGAGGTTGGCCAAATATCGGGAAGGAATAATCGATGTTTTGGGAACTCGATTTTGTCTCAAATCGTCGATTATTTACAAGAATCGTTGTCGATGTCGCCACCCTAATCCGAATGAGAGAGTTTGAAAATGTTGTAAAGAAAATCCTTATTAATAAAGAAGAATAGAAAATACGTTTTAAAATACAAACTACAAATACTGCTTAAAAAAGCATTTAAAATACAAGTACAAACTTTTTAAAAATATATTTAAATACGTATTTTTTACTTTCTATTTGTATTTTGAATACTTGTATTTGAATTACTTAACATCGCTGCTGATGTTAGCTGTTCTACCCAGGGTTTGCAAATAAGGAATATTTTTTATATGGGGTGATCTATCACTTGTATTAATTTTATCTCGCTTAAATTTTAAGCATTGCTTGTGTATGATATAAGTAGTCCGTTAGAACCTTATCAGTATTTTTCATTTTGAAATATACCACAAAACTAACTAATTCCGATTTTGGTATTACAATGAGATAACAGTACATTTTACACACAAAAAAAAAATGAATATATTCGCAAAACTATGGGTAAATTATAATAAAATTGCGTACTTAGTTATTCTCTCTGACGTCAGGATTTTTTTAAAGGACTTTGAAATTTAAAAAATATGATTATTTCAAAAAATTGTTCAAAAAGTTCAGTCCAATATAGGATCCCAATAAGGGTATCATATAAAAGAAAAAGTTCTGTAGAATTATACCGGAA